GACAACACCAAAAATTGATTCCGACAATCACTGCCGATTCAGCGTTGCCAAATGCTTTATAGAAAGTCGACTTCAAATAGAAACAGGTTATCGAAATTTCTGGACCAGATGGCGCCGTGCTGATATTGCCATATTGCTGGCGGCTTTCACATGCTTGCAAATTCCTTAGCGCACTGTCATACGGTCAGTATTTATTGACGTGATCCAAGTATCGCGATATTTATTGAGGGTGTAGCGTGCACTATTGATGGATCGTGATCCATATCGCAAAATTTCTAAAAATTTTGAAATCTGGATCCCGGATCGCAATACCGTCAATAAATATTGAACGTGTAGCACTTTCAAAACGCGATCCATACATTTCGTCATCACATCTTTTACTCTCATAGGGCTCTGCCTTCGGTCTCGGGGCTTAAATTCATTCAAAACAAATTGAACAAATTTTAATTAACATTGGAAATTTTAAAATAATTGTGGAATGCATTATCTGTAAATTATACGTTCAAAATAAAAATATTTTCTTGCGTCACTATAAGCGTTCAGCACAAAAATTATGCAAATACTGACGCGATAAATATATAACATGTAGCATTCATGCGCGATCCATCAATCCATCAATATGGATCGCGATCCAATTATAGTGATAATTACTGACCGTGTGACGGAGCCCTTATTTGCAAATAGTACCACTAATCAACACTTATTTGCGTGATTTAGTTATTTGCAAATAAAAAATTAACTCAGCGTTTATACGGCAAAGTTTATCATTTTGCAAATTGTTATTTGCAAATGATTCGTGCGTATAAACGTAGTAATAGTTGCGTTATAGTCTCCAATCATATACTACGTTTATACGTAAGCTATTTGCAAATAAAAATAATTTGCAAATACTTAACTCACTGTTTATTCGATAGAGAAAAGTTTTTTTTTAATATTTCCTGATTATAAAAAGGCAACTGCACTCATTTACATATAGTAGTACTGTAAGTAGAACATATGTATACTTTGCTAAGAAAATGTCATGCAAGATCTATCCAGCCATATATTGTACTTTTATACATGTTACATTAATATCAATGGCAACTCTGTTTTGAAGGATGTTCAGTCTTGTAATACCACCCTGTAAATACTTCCGGCCATTACAATTTGGTAAAGCCGATAGCCAACACGTTGTGTCAGAAATAAAATCAAAAGTTTTCTAAGTAATCTAAACCCTAGAAGTTATCATCTCAGGTGTGGACTGCGACAAAATTAAAATGCCACGCACCACTAAAAAACAAGTCGAAAACACGCTTCGGGCAGTAGGAATAACATTCCTACCTACTGCCACATTAGCGCAGTTAAAGCGTTTGTGTGACGATATTGTGGGGTCATCGCAAAAAGGCACGGTCGCCCAATGTTCCGTGCGTGCAAGTCAGGAAGACGTTTCGAACCTTGGTGAAGGTGTTGCCGCGAATGTCGAAATCACCGATTTAAGTGGAAACAGCGCCGACGATACTGCTACACGCGCAGAAAACCTTGCCGTATGTACGCAGGCTGCCGATTCAAGTGCTGGGCCCTCCGGCGAAAAATCCGAGACCCCTGTACTGAATTCCAATGACGAAACTGCTGCACTAAATTCCGCGACTTCCGTTATAAATATTACGCTCCCTGATGTAAGT